AACAGCTGCCGCGGCGGAAGGATACTTACGGATATTTCTCTGAATTACACGCGACGTTCACTTGTTTCGCGAACTGTCACGTCGGCCCATTAAAAAAAGCGCTCTTTAATACCCCCACTCTATCTGCATTTCTTCAATCCATCGATCAAGAAAAGTTGCGCGAGTAATACATCCTTCTTAGGCTGTTGTTGTGGCACTTTCCGGGGTTGATGTGTTGGAAGAGACACAGGCAAAGACTTTTGGTCATGGATACTGAAGTTTGTAGTGGAGTCTTAAAGAAATTTTTCATTCAACTGTGGTTGACGTTGCAAATTTCTATTATACATACCTGTGCATAAGATGCAGATCTTACTTTCTCGCATTCTGCTTACTCAGTATAGAAAACGTATTGTAATGAAGCGAGAAAAAACTGCGATTTTTCGTCAGAAAAACTCTTATTGCCAGGCCCTGGTAACGAAAAAGAGAATAAATGTTGTTCATATTCGTAGTAAATTACTTCCTCCAACACGCTGTGTATTCAGAATCCAGGTTTGGCAGGTATGCGAGAAACAAGAGTAAGTCATTCCAGTCAGCATTTTTTCTGCAACTTGCAAATTCCTGCCCGCGAAGCTTACTGTGCGTAGTCCGCACTTCGGACATGACGCTTTCGCCACAGCAATCTTCTTTGCCGACGTATGGAGTCGTTTAGGCGTCTGCCTCCGACAGTCATTGCCCCTTCATGTTTTCTTCTTGTCGCACGTCTGTCGTGGCGTTGTTATGATATGAAATATCGGCTGAAAGATGATTTGTTCGTTGTTCTTTTTTGTTTACATGTACTATATACTTTCTCTCATACTGCCTTTGTAGAGAAAGTATTGTAATGCTGCAGGAAAAACTGTGATATTCCTACAGAAACCGATTTTTCCGCAGAAATCTCTTATTTCCGAGCCCTGTTACGAAATCGGGGATAAATATTATTCATATATGTAATAAATTACCTCCTCTAACACATTGTGTTGTCAGAATCCACGTTTTGGGGGTCCTTTATACTGAAAGCGTCTTTCTGACTGTGTGGACAACGCTAGCAGCTAAACTGCAAGCATGAAGTTCACCAAAATTGATATTCTCCCATATATCTCAGACTGATGGTGCGGCCCCTTGAATTTCAATAGCATATTTTGGGGGTATTTTACATGATGACCAAACATTTTCTATTTTTATTTTTTTTTTTTTAAATAGCTACAAATTATTTTCATACACTAAGTTTAAAATTTTTTTCGGCGTCTTCCTACAATTGCAGTATTGAAAATAGAAATGTTTTCCTTAATAAAGTCTCACAAAAAACAGATTTTTGGATAAGGTCATGTACAATTTTTCGCAATTTGACTTGTTTTCTCAGAAACGCCTCCAAAAGTTTTCTTTCTTTTTTCTCTGGAATACTGGACACTACAGATATAAAAATGGCACAGATCCCATTTTTGATAATTCTGAATATGTATATATTTACTTGTATTTGTGTGTGTATATGTGTCTATCTGTCTGTGTGTGAGCGCGCGCTTGATTTCATCAGAAATTTCATTCCCTACGTGTCTGAATTTTGGAAGACAGGCTATTTAAATTCTGGAAACATTAACGTAGAATTTATAATGAGTCATGTAATCATATGTAATAGTAAATAAAAATTTTGAAATCAAACCCGTTTTATTAACGTATTCCTGGATTTAACACACGTGAGCGTATTATTATTTTTCCGTCGATGCCAATGAACTAAGATACGAGCACACGTTCAAGAATATTCATTCTTCAAATGTTATAAAATTGATTAAATATGGCTACAATTACATTTGTGTGAAACACATATTACATACACACGGTAAACATTACTTCTGGATGTTGTGAACTTCGCTCCGGCAAGGTGTGTATCCGGCATGGTCTAGTGGCTAGGATACCCGGCTCTCACCCGGGAGGCCCGGGTTCAATTCCCGGTGCCGGAAAATATTTTTATTCTTTAAAACCAACTTATTTACATTGATTTGACAACAGAAAGTTTACAGGATGGTATTAATACTATATTTATTTGTAATTTATAATATTTGTTAATGAAACTTCTTTCTCATAGGATTTTATCGTTATCCTCATGCGTTACTCCCCACACGTGTGTTAAATTAGTTTGATTCTGTGTATGAACGTTAAATAATGAAATTAAAGTATAGTTTATGTAAAATCGATCATGCGTGATTGATTGTGCATAATATATTAGTTTTAGTGGGTGTCTTATTACTTACAACTTCCCTCCGTGCTAATACATGGAAGTCAGATTTCAATTAACATTCTTCAGGGTGAAATGTTTCAACACACGACTAGATTTCATTGTTCTTGCCGATTTTGAGTATTTGACGTGGTTTCTCCGGAAAGGTTCATTAAAAATTTTCCGGCACCGGGAATTGAACCCGGGCCTCCCGGGTGAGAGCCGGGTATCCTAGCCACTAGACCATGCCGGACACATGTCCTGCCCTGCCGAAGGTCGAACCATCCTGAATTCTTTTTTAAGATGAGTTCCTAAACATTCATGCATTAGATAATTCAATTTTATAATTCATCATAATGTAGGAATGTTCTTGAACCTTACGCCCACTTCATTAACTGCATGAACCGGTATGACTTTCAAGTGTGCGAATTTATATTAACACAATAAGAGCTTTTCTAAAAAGTTTTGCATGTTTATAATTGTGTACATAATACACAAACCTGTTATGTTTTCTGTTGTCTCTCAAATAGTACTGGATTGATTTCTTTTTTAATGAATTATTTCCAATAATATTGTTTCTTACTTGCCTCTTCAATTCTTTCTGTCATTGCCCAAAAATCAAATTGTTCTCTCCCGAGTTTTATTTCAAAATGTTAAAAGCTACATTTCATTTTTGCTTCTGAAAAAATGTCCCTTGTGGGTTGCATTTAAGTGTGTGTGTGTTGGTAGATTCCCGTTACATATTCAAACACTGCGGATGAATTACGCAGTTAACGTTAATTGATACAGTTTATAACATCATATATGTACTTTCACGTTGTTACAACAAAATGGTTATCTTTAGTTACTGAAAATTATCTTCGTTATTTTGCTTAAATGGATATTTTTGATGTAAAGCTCTGTAAGTTGAAGTCTTCAGTTAATTTGTATGCTTACACAATAGTGATTTTTTTTTTTTTTAGTCGAGTTATATAAGAGTTATTGGGGAGTATTATGTTACCATTTAGTTTTCAACAGCTGTGTGTGATTTCTGCGTCAGTTCAGGCATTTCCTTCTCAAAAAGTATTCCGGCACCGGGAATTGAACCCGGGCCTCCCGGGTGAGAGCCGGGTATCCTAGCCACTAGACCATGCCGGAGGTGGTGGCAGTGAGGATCACTTGCCAAACGGGAACTGAGCATACGTTGCGAACAGGTATTGACAGTTTTTCGCAAAATACCCTAGTACAAGAGCTTCCCGGATAACATCCTGGTATCTTAGCCACTCGACCAGGAGTTCTTAATGGGATTCATGAATTTTTGAAGGAAGTCAATGACCAAGTAATTCGTTTGGGGTCTGTAGACTTTAATGAACAAGCGATTAATAGGTATATTCAAGATGGCAGTGATTCTCTAAAATATTAAAGGAACTTGATTGTTTATTGTTTTCTGCTACATACAGTAACGTATAATAATAAAAAATACAAATTCGCTCTTCTGTCGGATCAGTCGTTATATCCGTAGGATGAAGGTCATAGCAACTGGTATACCCCATCGATCTGCGGACATAAGTGGCCCCTTCATAAGAATTCCTACGTACAGATATCGCCAAAGAATGAAACAAATTACGGTCCATCTTTACTTATTCCTTTGCGTCAACCGTATTATTATACCAATTAGATATAAAACTCGTAATTGTTCGTTTATTGCAGTAGTATCCCCATTTCGGTTTTCTGCACAAGGCATCCCAGAACGTTGGCACGCATCTGCTTAGGGTGTTCAGAAAACTCAATAAATTATAACTATATATTAACAAAGACGATCTACAAAATACTCCTTGCAACACGCAGTGAGAAAACGTTATGGGCCGAAAAAATCTTAACATTTTGAAACTTTTGCACAACAACAAAGATTAGAAACTCAGCTACTTAAAAGCAAAGAGTCTTCGATTATTGTAAATTGATATATTTATCAAAATATTTGTGTACGTAGGGGGGGGGGATGAACGAAAAAAGTCGGGAATCCCTTTACTAGACCTTGCCGGACTAGTGAGCTTGTGGTTGGTGAGAAAATAAGTCAAATATTTTGTTCAATTTGCGGTGAGAGTAACTCATCAAAGACCATGCCAAAATAAACTGTTTAACACCATCCGCATGTGTGAGCCGAAGCGCACTGGCAGAAATACACCACATTTCTTACAGGTTTTTCTTTCTTGTTTCTTGTCTTCTTTGCTGTCAATAATTCTGGTACCGCTGAGAACTGAGTGTTTTAGGTTTCTAATTTTCATCAACTAGAAAATATTCAAAATAATTTTCTCCGTCAAAATTTAAAAAAAAAAACCCATCGTGCTTCATTTGAAATGAACATATGGAACAATTAGAATTAGAGACTCGTTAAAATAAAAGATCGCTAAATTGTCAAATGTGTTCTTCTTGCTCTACCAACCCAGCTACTACAATTTATAATTTTGGTCAAACTTTTAAATCATCTCAAATAAAATCCTATTATTCAAACAATTTATTTCATCTTTCATGTTTTTTATTGACCTTAAACCTCCAAAAAACGCTGTTAATATATAAGGAATCACAATTTTTAATGTATTAGAGGCCCCTTGGAATGTCCTGAGTTTTTAATATATTCATCGAAATGAATTATAATGTTTATATTGAAGAGTATGAATGAGTGTGAAAATGTAAGAATGTGACATGAAACTAATGTAGGACGGTCTGTGTTGTTAATATTCAAAACACAGAATTTGGAGCAAAGATAAACATATTATTTTTCGAAATGTTTCAGGTGGCGCGGGACTTCTTCGGGCGTCCTCTGCAGCAGACTCAGGCAGCTGCGGCCGCTGTCGCAGGTGAGATGTTGTCGCTACGCAACCTTCTCAGTAGTTTTTGGAAAAATACGAATACGTGTTCGCCAATTGCGGGTACCGTGCGCAAGTGCGATCTCTTTGGCGTTATGCTGTCCGTGCGCGAGGTTTTTATGTATGTATGTATGTATGTGTATGTATATAACCATTAAGTTCGGTTTTTTACTTTCATGTTAATAAAGTATCAGGGATATGTAGAAGAGGTAAAGTAGTGCTGCGAAAAAATCGATATCGTAATTTTGACGGACTGCCCTTTTTTTCGGTGCGTCAAGCTAGAACAGCCATTACAGCACTATCCAATAAAAACTAAATAATTTTTGTCAGCATATCTCAACATAACGACGCTAAAGTCTCACTCCCACTTTTGCCAAGCCTTATAGTTAGACGCTATGTAAAAACCATCTCTTATTTCCTCCTTGAACAGTTGTGCTTCGGTGGATGGGTTGTTTGTAGGCTGTAGCGGCTGTCATTTTAGTCAAATGTAATTTCTTTGAACCGAATGTGAATTACAACTGTGCCCTACTTAAGAACGCATTAAAATATAGTCAAGGGTTTTAGTTGGTATGCACTGTTTTTTGTAAAAAGTAATTGGGTTTGCTAATTTTATTCCAACGTTATAGATAGTAATAGATCAAAGTCAGTTCTATTGTACTTCTATTAGAACTAAAATGCAATCAAAGGCAGTTCTTGCACTGTGTACAAGAACTGTTAGATTTAGTGTTAAAAATGGTAGAGATTCTAATAAGAAATAAAATGGAAAATATTCAGTGAAATAGAATTCTGAAATACTTGGTCTCTCAAATATTGCTTAGTTCTTTATCGTGATTATGAATTTAAGTACTTTCTAGCTACTTGTAGTGTATTATATAACAATTCTTATTGCATGTAAGAACCAAGCCTACTTGTATTGATAAAACATTCTGGCACCGGGAATTGAACCCGGGCCTCCCGGTTTAGAGCCTGATATGTTAGCGCCTCGAGCACGCCAGATTCGGTTGGTTCTAATCGCTCAATATATAGTTCAGACCCGTCCGTGCGATGTCTTTTTAGTTCAGCGTTCGCGCATTTGCCATTCGTGTGCTATTGTGAAAATAGTGCATGCTTTCCGGGCTCTGAATTTAGGAAGAACAGTAGATAGGAGGGACACATTCACGTCTTTCTACTGGAAACAGGAATTTCTGCTTGTTGACTGTGAGTATTCTCCAAAGAGTTATTAATGCGCTTCCTTGAAAACAAAGAAACATTTCTATTTTGTTCGTGTGTGTTAGAAATTCGTGTCGATCTCTAATGCCATGCAACAGTATTTCCATTCGTTCGACAGAAAACAACATTGAAGATGAATTTACTGAAGCTGGAGATGTTTCGCAATTCGTAGAACAGATAAAATTGAATCGATCTGTTCTGTTAGTTACCCTACACAAAATACATAAAACGTTGGCCACTTATATATATTTCTTACGAGCTTAGTTTGCTTTTTATTATTTTCTAAACACGTTGCTTCTATTTTGGGTTCGTATAATTTCGTCAGATAATATAAGGAGTATCGGGAACCCTCGTGGTTAGTCAGGTCACCGTAGGCAGCGTAGCGCGTAAACAACTTCGTTTCTGTTCCTCCTCACGTTGTTCATTATAGGTTCGAATTTGCGATTGTAATATAGATTCTATTTTACGTACTGCAACTCAAAGTGAATATCACAGTAGGTTCAAAAATGTTTTCCGGCACCGGGAATTGAACCCGGGCCTCCCGGGTGAGAGCCGGGTATCCTAGCCACTAGACCATGCCGGACAACGTTACACTTTTACACTGTCCGCTGTCTTCCGTCAGGAAGTTATTACTAGCAGGGTGGATGTTGGGAACTAAATCATCGCCTAAGATGATCAGTGCTCTTAAAATGCCTTTAATGCGAACAAAATTACGTTAAATATTTTATCAAAAACAGTTGAGATGAACAACTCCAGCTTTTGGATTATATTACTGATGTAATCAAGGCTTCTTCCTTTCTGGCAAGTAAACAGAGATTTCAGGCGTTTGGTTTGGACTGTTCTTTACCAGGAAATCTCTTGTCTTTATCCCGCAATCAACAAAACCGACAATGGCGCTGACAGTCGGCACAGGAACCTTAGATTACTTACAACGGCTGACATTACAAGTTATGAGCGAAGAAATGGAATAGGCTACTTGGGAATTCTGTGGAGAACAATTGTTGCAACTCGTAAGTACAAATGCTTTAAAAATTACGGGAAAATTTAAAAAAGTGACTTGATTTTGAAAAGCAATGAAAAATGCCAAATCATGCATATAAAAAGTGGTCATTTCCTTTTGTCGTAGCATTTATATTTATATTTTGCAGCATTTATACTACAAATTATTGTACTAAAGTGAAGAGAAAAAATATGAAATATTTAAATTCGCTCCTACTCATTGGTAACTCTTAGCCATAGGGAATAAGATGAGGCAAATACCTTACAGCTTTATCATGGGAAACGACTAGGACAAATACTCTAATACCAGATGCACGAGTAAATTTTAAATAAGCTCATATCATATTGAGTTCTTTGGAGGGATATAACTTCTTAGGATATCCACTAAAAATAAATTGTTTTTAAAATTGAAATGCGAAAACCACGTCTACTTCTGGCCTTAATTTTGTTTTGATCATTGAACAGCGAGAGCTTCTTCCTGTAGACTTTACTCTTTATTTTCGAGCAGTCAGAACATTAAATATATTTTCGACACCGAGAATTGAATCTGGTCATCACGGGGCAGAGTGAGACGATTCCAACCCTGTAGATCTCCCGAAGACGTCGGATAAGAATGGTAGTAGGTGTTTGTGAAACTGATATTGAATGCTCTGTGAATGGGAGATTAAGCTAATAAACTTTCAGCAGGACTAGTAATGTTCAAAGCTGTTTCATTTCTACAACTGAATAAACATGATTCCAATATGTTTATCAATCAATAATTGTGTATGGAGTGCGTGAATTGTTTTTCTCTTCAAAAAGCCCTTAAAGCCACGAAGACATGAAAAGAATCGATGGTGTCATAGTCCCTCTGTCTAATGTGTTTCTTTCTTCCTTTGTTGGTCCTTCCGTGCCCCCTCTCGTCTCCTAATGGTTCGCCACCTTCCAGCAGCGGGCCGAGTGACGAACCGCTTCCGGAAGAAGTGAATACTGCCACGGCTCAATTTGACATTAAAATGAATTCCCCTCCCCTCCCCTCCTCCCTTCCCCCGCCCCTCCTTT